ATCGGTTTAGGTTGTGTGTTGATGTAGGAGGGGCGCGTTATTGCATGTGTTTCACGTCAGCTGTAGATCGATGATAAGAATTACCCTATGCATGATTTAGAGTTAGTCGTGATTGTTCATGCTCTTAAGATCTAGAGGAATTATGTTTATGGGGTGTCCAGTGGGGTTTACACCGATCATCGCAGCTTGCAGCATTTGTTCAAGTAGAGGGATCTCAATTTGAGGCAGCGCAGGTGGCTTGAGTTACTGAAGGATTATGATATTACCATTCTTTATCATCCGAGTAAGGCAAATGTAGTTGCGGATACCTTGAGCAGGAAGGCGGAGAGTATGGGTAGCTTGGCATTTATTTCAGCAGAGGAGAGGCCATTAGCTTTGGACATTAAGTCATTGGCTAACAGACTTGTGAGGTTGGATATTTCAGAGCCTAGTCGAGTTCTTGCATGCGTCGTTGCCCAATCTTCACTATTGGATCAGATCAAGGCGACAGTTTGATGATCTGCACTTGTTGGTTCTCAGGGAGACGGTACTACAGGGTGGTGCCAAGGAGGTTACTATCGGTGAGGATGGTATTCTGCGACTCCATGGTCGCCTATGCGTTCCTAATGTCGAAGGCTTGAGGAATTGGATTCTAGAGAAAGCACACAGTTCTCGGTATTCCATTCATCTAGGTGCTACGAATATGTATCCCGACCTGAGGCAACATTATTGGTGGCGGCGGATGAAGAAGGACATACTTGAGTATGTTGCGAGGTGTTTAAATTGCCAACAGGTTAAGTACGAGCACCAGAGGTTAGGTGGCCTACTCCAACAGATGACTATACCTGAGTGGAAGTGGGAGCGCATTATTATGTACTTCGTAGTTGGGTTGTTGCGGACCTTGCAGAAGTTTGATGAAGTTTGGGTCATTGTCGATAGGTTGGCCAAGTCGGCACACTTCATTCCGGTTATGATTATGTATACTTCAGAGAGGTTGGCCCATATTTATATTCAGGAGATAGTTCGGTCGCATGGTATGTCTGTTTCCATCATATCAAATAGAGGCCCTCAGTTTACTTTGTATTTCTGCAGGGCAGTACATAGTGAGTTAGGGACCCGTGTAGAGCTCAGCACAACCTTTCATCCACAGACCGACGGGCAATCGGAGCGGATAATTCATATTTTTGGAGGATATGCTCAGAGCATATGTGATTGACTTTGGAGGGCAGTTGGATCGATTCTTGCCTTTGGCCGAGTTTTCTTACAATAACAATTACCAGTCCAGCATCGAGATGGCTCCGTTTGAGGCTTTATATGGTTGGTGATGTCGTTCTCCCATCGGATAGTTTGAGCCTAGCGAGACCAAGTTATATGGTACTGATTTGGTTAAGGATGCTTTGGAGAAGGTAAATTTAATTCAAGAGCGACTTCGTACAGCACAGTCCAGACAGAAGAGTTACGCGGATCAGAAGACGCGTGATTTAACATTTATGGTGGGCAAAAAGGTTCTCTTGAAGGTCTCGCCGATGAAGGGGATCATGAGGTTCGAGAAGAATGGCAAGTTGAGCCCAAGATTTAAAGGCACATTTGAAGTATTGAGACGAGTTGGGGAGGTTACTTATGAGCTTGCTTTGCCTCCCAGTCTATCAGGAGTTCATCCGGTTTTCCACGTATCTATGCTCCGGAGCTATCATGCCGACTTGTCACATGTGTTGGACTTCAGCACGGTTCAGCTAGATGAGAGCATGGGTTAAAGGAGGAGTTAGTTGCCATTGTTGATAGGCAGGATAGACAGTTGAGATCCAAGAAGATTTATGCGGTAAAAGTTCAATGGAGAGGCCAACCAGTCGAGGAGGCGACTTGGGAGACCGAGGAGGACATGCGGAATAGATATCCACACTTATTCAGCACTCCAGGTAAGACTCTAGACACGTTCGTGGACGAACGTTTGTTTAAGAGCTGGAGGATGTAACGACCAACCCGATCGTTTTACTTTCTAGAACCTTGTTCCCCTAAATAAGACTCCCCGTACGTACTTTTACTGTTTTATAACTTGCCGGAATGGTTAGTTCGGGATTTGAAAGAGTTCGGGTTGAAATTGGATCACTTGGTTCCTTAAGTTGGCTTTAAAAGGCTAAGTTTGACTTCGGCCAACATTTTGAGTAAACAACCTCAGAATCGGGATTTGACGGTTCCAATAGGTTCATATGGTGATTTCGGACTTGGGCATATGCTTGGAACGGGTTTTGGATGACCCGGGAGCGTTTCGATGGCTAATAGTGAAAGTTGGCATTTTGGTAAATTTTATAAGTTTGGATTGCAGTGGATTTTTACATTATAGATGTCCGTATGGGATCCTGGGAATAGCTCTGTATGGTGATTCTAGACTTAGGAGCGCGTCCGGATGTAGATTAGAGGTCTGTACGTCGTTTCGGGGTCATTTGGCGAAAGTTGGAAATTGAAAGGTTTTTGGAAAGTTTGACTGAGGGTGGACTTTTTTATATTGGGTTCGGATTCCGATTCCGGAAGTTGGAGTAGGTCATTAATGTCATTTAGGACTTGTGTGTAAAATTTGAGGTCAATCGGACGTGATTTGATAGGAATCGGACATGCGGATGTGTTTTTAAAAGTTTTGAGTTTCATGAGTTAATCCATGCGTTTTGGCGTCCGATTCATGATTTTAGATATTACACGCAAGCGAGTTCGTATGATGTTTTTAGATTTGTATGGATATTTGGTGTGGAGCCCTAAGGGCTCGGGTGAGTTTCAGATGTGTTCGGATGGATGAGAAGACTTCAGTTTTCTGGTTTTTCTTTGCTAGTGTCTCAGGTATCGCAAATGCGAGAATTTGGTTCGCATTTGCAAACCTCGCATTTGCGAGAAAGGCTTCGCAATTGCGAAGAAGCCTAGCCAAGGCAGGACTTGTATCTGCGAGATTTTCAGTCGCTTTTGCGACCAGCTTGCCTTCGCATTTGCGAATATTTGGTCGTATTTGCGACCTTGACAGTAGGGGACTCAGCTTTACATTTGTGAAGATTTTATCGCATTTGCGACACCTGCTTTTAATGCGAGACTTAACTTTATTTCCCTCATTTCCCACTTGGTCTTGGACGATTTTGAGAGCATTTTTTAGAGAGGTTCCATCAACATCAAGAGTTAAGTGATCCCTATTGATTCTTTAGCTAAATACGCGAATCATAAGTAGATTTAACATGGAAAATGTTGGGATTTATGGGATTTTTGAGTAAAACCTATGGTTTTGTTAAAAATGGAATTTAACCACAAAAATGACTATGGAATGGGGTAAAAATCATATACTTGAGTTTATGAGGTTATGGGTAACAACTTTCTTCGAAATTTTTCGTAATCTGGGCACGTGGGCCCGGGGGTAAATTTTAGGAATTCTCCGATTGGGGTTGGGTAATCACTTTAGTAGTTAGGATATGAACTTTTGAACATGTACTGACTATTTTATATAGCATTTGACTAGTTTCGAGTCGTTTGACATCGAATTGAAGGTTCAAAGCACAATTTTGGACCGGGAAGTAAACTTGAGACGAGGTAAGTCTCTTTTCTAACCTTGTAAGAGGGAATTAACCCCATAGGTAAATTAATTTAGTATGTGCTTCTATTTGTGGGGGCTACGTACGTACGAGGTGATGAGAGTCCGTATGTAGCTACTAATTATGTTTATGTCCGAGTAATTTAAGACCCAAATCATGTGATACTTGCGATATTTGCACCCTACTTGCTAATTTAAATGCTTAAATCATATCGAAACATTATAAAGGGAGTGTAAAGGGTCAAATTTCATTTACTTGAGTTTTGGAAGGGTTACTTGATCGTTAATGAGAATTGATGTTTTCTTGAATATTAGCCTCTTAATAGTCTTTGAATCGGTTGTTTATAAAGCATTTTCCCTTCTTGTGGAACGGGCCGAACGCCTCAGTAATAGAATAAATGCATCTATGGTTCGTATTGTTCGACACTCAACAATGCACAATATATATTTGTATATTGGATCGGGTCGTACGACCTCGACATAATTCGTGCGTAGTAAATCTTGAAGCCTAATTATAATCGATATTTTTTCATTGGCTTGAGAGATTAATTTGTTAAATGCTAGAAATTAATTGAGATTTACTATTAGTGAAAGAATGGACTATTTATTTCATGTTATTGAGTTTTCAGTTGTATTTGTATAGCCCATGCTTAATTATAATTTCGGTATTTTTATTGTTAGCACATAGTAAGTGTCGAAGTCAACCCCTCATCACTACTTTTTCGAGGTTAGAGTAGATACTTACTAGGTACATGTTATTTATGTACTCACGCTACACTTTTACACTAATCGTGCAGGATCTGAGGCAACTGCATCTGGATATTAGTCCGGCGCACATCCTTGATGACTACGAGACTTAACAGTGAGCTATTTTCCGAGCCCGTTCTACAGCAGCCGAAGTCTTTCTTTTGCTTTTATTTTCTATCTATTTCACTTCAGACAGTAGTGTAGTATTCTTTTGTATATTCTACTAGTAGCTCATACACTTGTGACACCAGGTCTTGGAGATTTATGCTAGTAGACACATGGAGGTTTTGGGTTATTTTACTTATCTCTATTGCTCTTAAAAATTAGTATCTCTCACCTTGTTTAATTTTTACTTCATATTTATGCACTAATTTAAAAACAACTATTTTATAAATATTAAAATTCAACAATCATGTGGTTAATTCACTGTTGGCTTGCGTAGCGATAGCGTTAGGCGCCATCACGACCTATAGGAGAAATTAGGTCGTGACAGTCTCCATCTCCATTTGCTCCACCTACAAAGGAGATAAATAAAGTTGCCTTCAAGGGTTGGTTTTTTAGAAGTGGGTATGGTCCATGAAAAACTCAAGCATAAAGCATTTTGAAAAGAAACAAGTTGATACAAATGAAGAAGCCAAAGTTCAATAGCAAATCCAAATCATTAAACCAGACTTCTAAATTTATGCATTCAGCCACAACCACTAAAAGCAACTGAAGAAAGACGAAAAAACTGAATAAATAAGTCTATAAGCATATTCTGGAAACAAGGAGAAAAATCACCAAAATAAATATAGATCTGCCAATTTCTATATTGCGCTGACAATGTTCAACAAAAAATCAAAGGAAAAGCACCTAGAACACCCCAGTTTCTGTATTACGCTGACAGTTACTTTCCAAGCAGCAATATTCATCACGTAGCAGCAAATTCATTAATTCTTTCATATCAATTATTCTCCAAGAATATCCAGATATAATTATTTACCAACATCTCGTCCAATTAACCCCACCCTCATAGTACAGAAAACCTCAAAGAGTGTACACTTGACAAACCCAGTTTCCAAATCAGAAATCAAATTATTTTAAAGGAAGCCCAAGTGGAAATGAAATAAGGCCACATGGAGCACTAATAGTTTTTTAACAAAAAAAAAAACCTCACATGGCATCTCATAATTATTAACAAGCAAGATAAGAGGAAGAGCACGAAACTCAAGAACGCAACACTCGATCTGCTGCACCACTTTATTAAAAAATTATACAACAACGAGATCCCGCAAAGCAATAGAAAAAGGATATTCATCATAGTAATAAAGTAGAAAAGTCAACCACAGAATTACAATGCGACAAAGGGCCAAAAGCAGAATAAAAAATGAGTAGACTAATCAAACTTCAACAGCTTACTAACTTCCCTCTAAGAAAAATAGTGAGTTGAGAGAAAGCAGTGGTAGAAGAAGGAGAGTACAATCAACACAAGAAAGTGAATATGGCAGTCAATCAGTTGACGCATTTGCATCAGCTATGGGACTTGAGCATCCGGATCGCCTAAGATTGTATGGACATGGGGTTACCAAGACTGCCTTAAAAAGAAAAGTGGGAGATTTTGGACCCTTTTTAAGTTCTACTGATGAGATGATGCAGCAAAAATGGAGGACAGGATACAGCAAAAGTTCAACGCACAAAAAGATGCTATGGAACTAAAAGTTGCAGTTAACGTCATTTCACAACTTAAGCGTCTGAATCCAGGATTACGGGTTGATCCTAACATGCTAGTTAGTAAGTTGAAATGGAAAGCGTACAATCAACACAAAAATGTGAATATGGCAGTCAATCAGTTGGCGCATTTTGCATCAGTTATGGGATCTGAGCATCCAAGTCGCCTACGTTAACTGCAACTTCTAGTTCCATAGCATCTTTTTGTGTGTTGAACTTTTCCTATATTCTTTGATACATCCTTTATTCCATTTCCTCCATTTTTGCTGCATTATCTCATCAATAGAACTTAAAAAGGGTCCAAAATCTCCCACTTTTCTTTTTAAGGCAGTCTTAGTAACCCCACGTCCATACAATCTTAGGTGACCTGGATGCTCAGGTCCCACAACTGATGCAAATGCGTCAACTAATTGACTGTCATATTCACTTTCTTGTGTTGATTGTACTATTTCCATTTCAGCTTACTAACTAGCATGTTAGGATCAACCCGTAATCCTAAATTCAGACGCTTAAGTTGTGAAATGACGTTAACTGCAACTTCTAGTTCCATAGCATTTTTTTGTGTTGAACTTTTCATGCATTCTTTGCTGCATCATTTCTTCCATTTTTTCCATTTTTGCTGCATCATCTCATCAGTAGAACTTAAAAAGGGTCCAAAATCTCCCATTTTTCTTTTTAAGACAGTCTTGGTAACCCCACGTCCATACAATCTTAGGCGACCTGGATGCTCAGGTCCCATAACTGATGCAAATGCGTCAACTGATTGACTGCCATATTCACTTTCTTGCGTTGATTGTACTCTTTCCATTTCAGCCTACAGGATCAAATTGAGTCAATAATTAAGAACAGTTAAATGATATCAACAAACTTTAAATTAGAAACTTCGTACAATTTTATTAAGTGTATCCGCATACGAGGCCTTAAATACTCGATCAAGTTTTCTTTTTCTTGTAGCCACAAAGATGTCCTTACTTGATAGAGCTTCGGAAGTTTACTTCTTTTTTTTTTTTTCTGGTTACATAAAAAGTTGTATAAAAATTATTTTAGATTGAAGTTAGCAAGTTCATATTTAAAAGATCAATGACAGAAAAATATCAAACCTCGCGGATTAGAGCAAAACTTGTTATGCCAGCAGTGTGTGGATATCTCAACTTTCTGTGATTCTTCATATTGGTTTTTGGTTTTGGACAATTTCTGCAAACAAATGAGTCGATGAAATTTTAGCGAATGGACCAAGTCAATAAGCTGGCAGTTAACCAAATTAAGATTATGATGCTAGAGTTACTTTCTTTGTAGTATAGACATCAATATTAGCATTCTATCTTATTCAAATATACGTTTTATACAATTAGTTGCACTTATAACTTAAAAGTACTTGGATTGGTGTAGCAGACTGGTGATAAATTTTAACTGTTGTCTATGCTCTTCAGAGCTCTTTCTGTTCAAAGAGGGTGAGGAGCTCCCTATTTTTCTGTTTTTCTTCATCTTTCTTGGGGAAGGGGATGGGTTGTATCTATGAAGCATACTTTAATTTGATACCTAAGACACCTTCTGCCATAAAGTTACACAAAACATGCTTATACGCAAGCTTTTCTAACTCAAGTTCATATGTACTACCACAATGACTTCTTACTATGTCTAGTACATTCTAATAAGTATGCTAGCATCACTAATTAAAAGAGCTCTTGATTCTTCCTACTTCTAACTCAAGGCAACTATGACTTTCTCACAGTTATCATCTCAAGGTGAAAAACATGAGGACATTGAATTTGAGCTTTATGAAACTAATCAGCAACCAATGTTAACAGGGATCACAGTGAAACTATATCCCCCCCCTAACAAAATATCCATTCTAAGAGACAATGCAAAGCCCTGATGGACTATATGTCTCATGAAACATGTGAGAGTATGATAATCCCCGACAAAGATTAATATTTTACCTCTGAAAGCTGATAAAATGAATAGGCAAGGATTGCCAATCTACATAACTACGCCTATAGCAGGTTCTTTGAATTTATTCGTTCAATAGAATCAAGTGATCAAGACAGGACAAAATGCAGGAGATTTCTTCTTCCCAGACAAGTACAAATCTAAAATGACGTGAATCAGACAAATCCCACATCGTACTACACTTTGTTGATACACTATAAATTCAGCGAAAACACAGGAGACACAGATAACAGAAAGAAGAAGGCCACACAATTAACAAAATGTACCAGCAGATCCAGTCGAGGTCAAAGAGTATTTGGATTTCATATAAACTGTGAGAAAATTGCATCATTTTAAAAAAGAGTGGGAGAGTAGAAAAAGAGGCCACCTCTAATTTCAATCATTGTCCCGGTATCTAGATTAGAATCCCCATTGACACTAAAACTTAATAAATAATACTCGTTACCTTTTAAGAATATCCCTCACAAACAGTTATAATATAAGTTACTGATCCCCACCTGTTATAAAAATGATGACTTTTATGAAATGATGTTTCACATTTTTGGGGATAAACTCCAAATTCAAGGCGAAAAGAATAAGAAATAGACCTATGATGACCTGTGAAAGCAGTTCACTTGCGCAGAACTTTTGAAGATAAGAACATACCTTTAGGGATTTGAACAAGACAAAGAAGGGGGATCAGGGCAAAAGGGATTTGAACAAACAACAATCCAATAGCCCAGATATAAAGGATGGGGAACACTCCTCCACCATACTTTTCCTGAAGTTATTGACCTGCATTTTCTAGGCCAATGCTATTGGATATTTCACTACAGTAAAATGACTTTGCGAACACCGTTGTGACAAAAAGATTGACAATGAATGAAATTGTAAATTGAAAAGCTTTTATGTAGCGCTGGCACTTTAAGTGTAGCATTGTTAACTAACATTCAGCAGCACTCATATAGAAATAAACATGAGGAATACTTTATTATTGCAAAGTCAAATAGATTTTCCCTAATAAGATGATTTATAATTAAATGAAAATCAGACATTTTCTGCGAATCATCGAAAGATATTCAGTTTTACCTTGTAGGAATCAGAGTTCCAATATTTATAAGTTCCCTAAATTGAGACTCCGGAACATCAATCGGCCTTTTCTCCATTCGAAGCTCGTCATTTTCATAGGCTTCAAAATATTCTTTCATTAACTTATTCTTATACTTTCTCCAAGCATTCTGAATTGATTTAAAACCCCATACTTCTGCGACTTCAGGAATGTCATATTTTTCCTACAAATTGGGTGCAGTTAGGTTAGTGTAAAAAATATGAAATATCATCCACGCCTATTGAATATTGCCTACTTCAAACCTTGACATATTTCCACATATCTTCTTTTGTTTCAAGTTTCCTCCAATTAAACACATTAAGAGGACAAAATGTTGCATTCCTTGCCAATGTGCCGAGGAAGCTACCCAACTCTTTTACAACTTCGTCAGTATGACCTATGGGTTGATTCGTCTCATTTAACACAACTTGTTTACGTTCTTTCCTTCCGTGCACGCCTGACATCTGAGTTTTGCCTCTTTTTCTTTTTTTTTCGGAAGAAGGACCTGCAATAATATAAAGCAAGGATAATCACCAAAAGTCACAATTGTTAGTTGATTTGACGATTGAAATCTTTATATTCTTGCCTTGTTCCTCGAGTTGTTCATTTGTTTCATGATTGATAGAATCCTCAAATTGTTCCTGTATCGTTTGTGAAGTACGAGTGGTAGAATCCAATGGCAGTTGCTGCAAATTTTCACGCACTGCTTGTGATGCAAGAGAGGTAGAGTGTGGTGGCAGTTGTTGTACTTCCTCGTGTATTGTTTGTGTTGAAGGAGAAGTAGAACGCATAGGCAGTTGCAACAACTGTTCTTGCACTTGAGCTCCTAATTGTGGAAGCTGTTTGCCAACTAGATTTAGCTGATGCTTGTCATATGACCCTGAACCTTGAACAATTCTTTTTGTTTTCAATGACGAAACCTTTTGGTTTCGCAAAGATGTAAGTGAGCAATGCAGTTTTTAACTTTTTTATTTTTTACTTGAGTGCTCTTCCTGATTCATGACTATTTAAATTCCTGTCAAGTTCAAAAAATGCGTAAAAGACAGGTTAGTAAAGCTTTAACAGGAAGACCAAATATATATATATACATTAACAGAACTATACTAAATAGAAAGTAAATTTCCAGAAAGTAAATGCTTGCTATACCAAACAAGGAGATTGCTTCCTGGTGTTTACAAGGTGACTACACGAAGAGGCCTTCAATGTCAATGGTGGTCAAGGCAATGGAAGGTGTTTTGGATGTTAAAAAGAATCTGGACTATAGCTTCCTTAAGCGACAAACAGTGAGTCAATTACTGGAGAAGTAAAGAATCTGGACTAATTTCTAGTTTTTCTCCTCCAATGTTCAGAGAAGTAAAAATTGTTTTTTTTTTTCAAATTGTACAGAGTATTCACTCCAAATGACTCACCACTCTATAATGCTTTGCACACTTCTATGAAAAAAGTTTTAAATTACAAGTTCTGCTACTTTAATACAGCAAGAATTTCATATTTTCCAGGCCTCTACCTAACTATCAAAAGGATTCAAAAATCACTACAAATTCTGCTACTTCATTTCACCAAGAATTTCATTTGTTCAAGGCTGCTGCCTAACATATCAAATGGCAAACTAAATCATTAGCAGGTTTTTGATATGCAAACTAAAAGAAAGACATAATGTATTAACAGAGAGTAAAAGAACGACAAGAATTTAACATGACAAATGTTATAAAACTTATTCTATAGTTTTACTGGTTAGGAGAAAGCATTATCAATACCTCAATTCTCTACCAATTCAAGCCTCGACTGGTTGTAATCAACAATTACTTAGTAAGATGTATATTAACCTCATCAACAACTGCAAAAATATCACAAGATCTCAAATCCTGCAAAATTGAAGCATGTCAGTGCATGTCAGTAAAATGCTAAAGGAAAAACAAATAAAATATTATTAAAAAGATATAAACAAGAGTAATTACAAAATATTCATAAAAACATATTACAACTCACTCAAAACAAAATATATTTAAAAGAATTTCAGAAGTTTTTCTTTAATCATCCGATTCCATCCAGTCCCAATAAGTATCATCAAACTCATCCTCCTCTTCCGATGTTTCTATAATTGTATCATGTGAATGTTGTGCATTAGATGGAATATCAACAACATCAACGGGTACATCATCTCTTGACCATCCAACGTCAACATCAACTAATCCACTTAAGGAACCAATGTCATCATTAGGCTCCCTCCAAAATGCGTCTTCAATATTGGGGCAATTCTCTTTCTCTAAATCATAACAAATCAACAGGGACTCCATTCCTTGCATAATAAAAATCTTTCTCAACTGGATTCTCCACATAAAAAACTTGATAAACTTGTGATGCCAATACAAAAGGATCATCTATACTACATAATTTCTTAAAGTACACACGTGTTAACTCATATTCATCTATTTCATTACGAAACCAATCACATCTAAATAGTTAAATGCTAAAACAACTACAATAATCAATCTCAATGATATTCTGAATAGCTCCATAATAGATAACCTCACCATCGATGAAATGTTGGTCCCTACAGCTACCAAAGCTATCGGTTGTTGCCGATAAAGTCACTCCACTATTCTGAGTCTTGCATCGGGAATCTCGCTCGATGGTATGAAATCGGTATCTATTAATGAAATATGCAGCATATCTTTTGGCGATCGTATTAGGCTGTTTAGCTAGCCATCTTAAATAATCGGGCACTTCAATATTTTTAATTTTCACTGCAAACCAATTGTTGAACTCCCGATTATGATGCCTTGCCTTTTCCACTTGTTCATCTCCAGTATTGAACAGAGCATACCGATGTGCTTCAAAACATAATTGTAGGTACATGAGAAAAGTATTCTTTTTCTTCTTGCTTCCAATTGGATGGCCTATCATAGGAAATATAGGTGACAAATTTTGAAGGCACTCATCCTCCGTAGTTGGGTATGTACTGAATCTTGTCTTCACTCCATCATGGAGGTATCGTGAACAAAAACGCAAGCACTTTTTAGACAAAAACCCCTCTGCTATTGATGCTTCTGGACAAGATCAATTACGAACAAATGCTTTGTACTTACATAAGTTCCTCTCAATGGAATACATCCAACGAAGATGAGCCGGACCTCCAAGCTTAATTTCGTTCACCAAATGAATAGCCAAATGTGGCACTATGTCGAAAAATATTGCATGAAAAATCTTTTCAAGCCCACATGTTATTTCAACAATTTCATACTGCATTTTTTCAAGATCACTTCACCTTATGACCTTACTACATATGGCTCTAAAGAAATTGCCCAACCTAATCAAGGCCAATGAGACATTCTTGGGCAAAACCTTTCTAACAAAAACCTGGAGCAAGTAATGCATTATAAAATGAGCATCGTTACTCTTTACCCTTATATTTTCATCTCCTTAACATGTACGCGGTTTGAAATATTCGAAGCACACCCTTTTGGTAATTTGGCATTTTTTATAACGGTACAAAATAAACTTTTCTCATTTTCCTTCATGTGGAAACAAGATTTAGCCAAACTTACACTTCCATCATCATCTTCTCTTGGTTGTAACACCTTTCGTATCCCCATTCCTTGTAAGTCATAGCGAGAATTTATATGATCCTTTGACTTTTTATCTATTTCCAATAAAGTCCCAAATAAACTGTCACATATGTTTTTCTCAATGTGCATCACATCAAGATTGTGCCTCAACTTATTATGCGCCCAATATGACAATTCAAAAAACAATAGATCTTTTTTCCCGTGACCCTTGTTACCTCGAGGTCTTTTTTTTGCCCTTACCAAAGATATTGTTGAATTCAAGCAGCTCTTCAAATACTTCTGCACCCGTCAAAGGAGTAGGTGCAGGTTTATGCTCCTCACTACCATCAAATGACTTTATCTTTCCGCGATGGATGATCAAGAGGCAAAAATATTCGATGACCCAAGTAACACATCTTATGACTGTTGAGAGTATGTGTCATAATTACAAGTGGGGCGTGCCAATATCCCCTTTATGCTACATCCTAAAAGCATTGCTAATGCTGGAAAATCACCAACTGTCCATAATAAGACTGCACACATTCAGAATGTTTGGTTTGTTTCAGCATCATATGTTTCTATTTCAGTTTCCTATAGTTCCTTCAATTCTGCCATAAGTGGTTGTAAGTACACATCTATATCATTTCCCGGAGATGATGGACTTTGATCATTGACAACATGATATATTCTGGCTTCATGCAAATCCATGGTGATAAATTATAGTTCATTAACATAATAGGCCGCGTGTTATGAGAAATGCTCAAGGTTCGGAATAGGTTGAAACCATCACTTGAAAGACCCAACCTAACATTACGTGGGTCTCTAGAGAAGTCTAGGTGTAGAGAATCAAAATCCTTCCAAGCTTCTCTATCAGCAAGATGCCTCATATTCCCATTACTGGGTCATTCATTAGCATACCATCTCATTGCAACGGCTGTTTCGAGACACATGAAAATCCTCTGAAGCCTAGGTTTTAAGGGAAATTACATTAAAACCTTTGCAGGGATTTTAAAGCTTTTATTAGTCAAGGCATTACCAACACTTTTCCATCTGGAAAACCTACAAACGGAGCAATTATCGGCCTTTATATTGTCATTCAAAAATAGCATGCAATCATTAGGGTATGCATGAAGTTTTTCATAATGAAGACCTAAATCTTTTATCATGTTTCTAGCCTTGTTGAAAGACTCTGGCAGTTGGGCAAAGGGAAATGAGTCTTTTGACAACTCCAACATGTCTGAATAGGCCACATTACTCTATCCATGCAACGATTTCAACAAGTACAACCGGATGGTGAAACTCAATTTAGTGAAGTTTTCACACCCCGGATACAATTCTTGTTTTCCTTCCTCTAATAATTTAAAAAATCTCTTAGCATCTTCAAATAAAGCTTCTCCCATCCCTTCTTCCTGCTCTGGCTCACCTTTTACATATCTAAATGTATCATGAAGTAATCCATCAATATCAATACGCATGTTAGAACCTTCAACCTCATTGCGTTGATGAGGTGTATTTCTACAGGAAAATCCTTCCCCATGGAAAACCCATTTGGTGTAACCATCAACAAAGACATTAACAACTAAGTGATCCTCCACCACATTTCTATAATGCCAATAGCGATTAATACATTTTTTGGAAGAGCATAATATTTCATTTCCTTGGGAAGCTCGTTCAAATGCCTTATCAAGAAAATCATTCACTCCACGGATATACTCATCCGTCCATCTTAGGCGAATCATCCTACTTTTATATGCACAATCCATTAAAATCCTATACGACAAAAGTAAATCACCAAAATTAACCAAAATAAACCAAGGTTCATATTAATTTAACATTCAACAAAGGATCAACTTTAATTATAAAGGTTTAGTACAACTAATGCCCTAGGCATAGTACTTCCAGGAGTCAACAAACAAAATTAACTCATCAAAAGTCCAAAATGAATAGAGAGCTTCAGTGTTTCTTTCTGAATTAAACTTCATTCTCTCTCCTCTCTGAAAGCTGAAAAACTAATATTTTGCTTTGTCACGTACTTTATGTCTTTGTTAGTCACTTAGAACATCCTGTTATCTGATACTTTAGTTCATCATTTGTATTTGATCAGATGCTTACATGTTTATTGTTTCCAGAATCTATCCCTTAGAATCATGCTTACATCTGATACTTCAGTTCATACCTATTGGTCATACCTAAGGGTTGTGTTTTTCTTTTTCTTCTAAAAGAAGAATTAGTATTAGAATTGGATCACAAAAATTTTAAGATTTCCATCCGCAGATTGAAAATGACTGCCACTGTGGGATAAATCATTGTGCTTACTATGTTCGACTCAAATGGTATTATTAAGTCTTTTATATCCAGATATGATATGCATCTAACAGAAGTATGCTTCAGCTCCTTTTGTTTACACATAAATGCCCCTGTGTTCCTCCCCCACAAATGATAAAAGAGAAAATCAGAATAAGCCGTGAACGATTTTTTAATTATCTATTAGTATCGATACCACCCGAGAAAGGTTCTGCTGTTCAACAATTCTACTACTATTTAGTTTCGAGAAAACTAGACTTGGGAAAAAGCAATTTACTTAATTTTGCCATAGAATTCTATAGTTCAATGATTTCTACAGTTCTACAAGCTACAGCTCAACAATAGCAGACATGGAAGGAAATAATTCTACAGTTCTACAAACTACAACTCAATTGGCAAACTGCTCTTTATTCGGATCGAAATCCAAGATTTATTACTAAAAATAATTGTTGCCTATAGCCACAGAACCTCAAAGGGCTCTATTTTATATCCAAATTTACAGCTTCTAATAAACACTCACAAATAGACCTCTCTTTGAATTCTACTGTTTCGATTTATTTGCTCCCCAATTTCATCCCAACAAATCAAATCAGCAATGGCCAAGATTAAACTACAATCGGATAGCAGACTGAAGAAAATAATTCTGCCATAGCTATAAAAACAAACTTAGACCCAAACTTAATAGCTCATGCAACAGGAAATTTAACGTAACTTTCCAAAGAAATTTAGTTCAGAGAAGAACTCACAATATTTACCAAAAGAAATTTTGACCCACGTTAGCCATACCCAAATGAAACTTAAACCCAAATAATTTGGGTTCAAAACGTCAACAAAAAGCCAGAAATCATATACACTGCTCACACCATAAAGCTTAAAGAAAAAAAGAACGATTAAAGAAGAAAATACCCAAATTAGAAAAGAAAATTACCTGAAGTTGATTTCGCACATATTGCCTTTTGGGTCGAAATTTCTCGCGATTGAAATATTTTTCTCACCTGTAATCGCTGCCTTTAAATTATTCCTCTGTTCTTCATCTCCTTCGAGTAAAACAAATGGATTTTGGGGATTTGGGACTTTGGGTTAGCAATCCATTTTGGTACTTGGGAATTTAGGGTTAGCCAATGAAAAGAGATTTGGATGTGTCGACACTGTGAGTTTTGTGGGAGGGGGGAGATAGATGGATTCTTTACTTATTACTAGTGGGAATGGCCCGTGCTGACCCCGGGCCCAAACTTGATTAAAGTAGCAGCTTATATTAATTTATAAAGAAAATAAATTACTTTCTACATAGAACAACTTGCATTCTAATCTATTATGTATTGAGATATTTGAGTTGATTTGTTAAACATTATGGTCTCTCGGACTAAGTGTGTAGTAATCCTTTTGAATTATCCTTTGGATGGCAGTAAATTTCTTTCGATTCAGTGAAGAAAACAAATTCAAGCCAAAAAAGGAGGTCATATTTACTGTCAGTCTTTCAACCCACTATTTACATCAGTTACAACACCAATATATTTTACCGGCGAACAAAAATATAAATGTACATTCTAGTAAGTTACACAAAGTGAACTGTGTTGTCCATGTTTTCTGCAATATTGCAAACAAAACGACGTCAGCAACGGCAAGTGACAACATTTTCTGGTAGCTAAAAGAGCAGGGGTTGTTCTTTGCATTACCTGTCAAGCAGAAGCTGGCAATCTTCAAACACGTATTTACATAGTAGGATAAGACGTATGTACAAGCATTTTACAGAGTTATAACACCCTGCGAACCAAGCAGACGTAAGATCTATAATGACGCCTTTTTTCGTCAACCAAAAATTGTTATTAGTAAACCACAAATTGAGAAATATGTTGCATAATCTTAGTCAGTTATACCAATACAAGGGAAATAAAATTGCAAGATAGAAAGTATAAATCAATCCAAGCACAAGAATGCCTTAGAGTACCTGTACAGATAAAGTAGTACTACTTTATAAGTATTTTTTTATGAGGATTAAAAAGCGCAACAATATTGAATTGAACAAAATAAGTCAGTCAATGTAGTAGTTATGTAATATATTATCATAGAAACTTAGAGAATTCTTTCGTAGGCATGAGTACTGTAATATTACTAATGTTTAATGAAAGATAGTGCAATTGAAATTTAGCTAACAATGGATTGGCAACATTAGCAACACAGTAATGTTTAGCAATCGCAGGCAAATTAGGAGTTAGCATGAAACTACTTCTTTCTCTGTCTGTTCTTTTTCGATTGGTTGCTAGAGGGCGTTCTTTGGAGAGGATGAATGTGAGTGAAATAGAGCTTATGAATGAATATATAATGGAATGCAATATGCAATAGGCTTTTTTTTTGTTGAAGTTTCTTTTGAGTTGTTTGTGCTGCAATTATAATCTGCTACTCCTACANGTATGGGTGTAACTTGTTCCACATTCGACTGACTGTTGTTTTCGTTTTCTATCTCTTTGTTCAGCTCAGCATTTTCCAATTTAGTGTTACTGCTCTCTCCAATTTCTTCAGAGGCTACTGGTACAGGCAATTGAAATAAATCTTCCTTCACAGAGTAGGACACAATGAACAATCGTGTATCAGAAGTTCTAGAAAATATTTTTCGCAGTTGTATCTTGAAGAGTTTACGAGGAAGACGTTGTCGAACATGTTCAAGAGGTAATGGTTGGTTCTGCAGGAGAGAAAATGATGAATTTAACACATTAAAATAGTACTCAAAAGTAATATACTTTGAATTAATTGGATGTTCTAAGCCTATAAAGTACTTGGGATGCAGAGGCTACAAGCTTCTACAGCCTTTAATTATCTTTTGATTAATGATGAATTTAAGAAGCCAATTGTCATATTTAAGCGACCTAAAGGAGATGTTTTAATTTTCGACAGGCATGTGGAAATGGAGGTGTAAGCAGACATAATTGGTACTTTATTAGGAAAATTGTTGACAACCTCTGTGCATTGGCAGTAACTAACATTGGCAAGCAGTACAAGTCAGATGATGAACTAACAAAGCAACATTGAATATTCAGGTAACAACCTAGGGTTAATCAATTAACAAGCATACGTAGGTCAACATTATTTTTCTTAATACAAGCAAACAAAATCTCATTTTTTTCCTCGTTTTGTTACTCTTCTTGTCTCTGACTCTTTATTTTTTCTCTCTTCTTAAGTTTAAGTTCTAATATTCAGTTATCAGTGAGATTAAATCTAAGAATTTTCAAGGGGTTAATGTTAATGTCCTTTCAAGATACATTGTTGAATTTTTAGAATGAAGAATAAAGACATTTGAGAAGAATGGTTTGTTCTAATCACACTTGACTAAGTATTGGATGACTTGCAGTTNTTTTTTTTTTTTTTTTTTTTTTTTTTTTTTTTTTTTTTTTGTGTTGGTGTCTGCTCCAATTTGCATGCAGGTATCTTTGAAAAAAACCAATCTGTCAACGAGAATAATAGTAATGTCTCAAATTCTTATATTGTAATGTTAAATTTAAGACTAAATGTTGTGTTTGTTCGAGATGTCGGCGAAACCCATTTAAATTTAATTAAAATTGATTTTTGTTGAGCATTAATTTTTCTTATCTTGTTATTTTCTAATTTTTTTCAGTATCGAAAAGCCTATTCACAGACCATTTATTGTTTTATGGAACTTCCTAGTTTTATTTTTGTTATTTTAGAATAAATATCTTATTATTCTGGGTTTGGATGAAGCCTATCTAGTTTTATTTGTCATTATTGAAATCTACCAAAGTTCTGAATTAATTATGAAGATATTTCCCTTTATTGTTTCTGTTGAGTTTTTTCTTTTTGATATTCTTTTTACCTTTATGTATGGTTCTGTCTGTCTTGAAAAACTTATCCACTAGACCATTTAAGGTGTAGGTGAGACTGCTTTAGTTGTTATTGAAATTCAATTATAAACAAAATAGCAAGTCACTTTCTTGAAGATATTTTTTCCAACTTATTTAATTAGTGGTTACATTTTATATGCAAAGGCAAACATCAAGGAAGACATAATTGGAAAAAGTAAGAGCAAACTTGTTTTCACGGTATCATAGTTGTAAAAAAGTTTCTCCTACTGCCATCAACAACGTACCTTAGCTGATATTTCACAGATATCTGTGGCGGTCATATCAAGAAAATTTTCTCCTAATTCGCCTATTAATGTTGCAAAAGTTGATCCACTGCCATCTGTCATTACAACCTCAAAGCGGGCCCTAATATGCAATTAATTTGTATTATTTCATTTTCATAAAGCCAATGACTGAAGAAACTTTCTTTCTTTGAAGATGTAGAACAAACATATTTTATTAAGCTCGGACTCCAAGACGCAATACCTGGGTGTCAACATCGCACGTTGCTTGCAACTCGCACAGTGAATAATTTTCGGCGAATGAGTTCTGTACTGCTGCTCGCAATGGGAACACAGTAATTCATAGAAATCTTGGTCGGCAGTCGGAAATGATAATTTACCCTCCACGTAAAACAGTTGTATCTGTGAAAGAGGAGAATGCAAGTAGATTTATTTAGTTGGGTTAAAAATACTAAAGTTGTCTATATGTATACATATTAGCATGCATGAAATGCACATACATGAGGTTGTGACTGGATAGCAACAATTGAGACAATATCATTTTGTTCTGCTGCAAGCACCAGAGACGAATCAATCGCCGTTTGCTGACTGTATCTCATTAATCTTGGTCGGTTGTCTTTGACCCTATACGTGTATAGAGGCATTTCAATGGCAACAAAATGTGAGGTACATTTAAAATGACACAAAGAGGTGGTGACAACTGACAAACTTAAAAAACATAGGAAATAACAAGAATTGGTTGTTCCAGTGACAAATTATTGTGCACATTACACCAACAATACCGAAAATCAACAGAAAGTACCAAAAAAATATTTCTTCTAGTTGACCACAATTATAATGCATATAACATAATTTTCAACTGGCCAGAGCTCCAACATATAGTACAAATGTGGTGTGTGGACATAGTGTAGACACGTTCTAAAAATACAAATAAGAAACTATTAGCCTCAATGACTGCAGTAGTTCCTATTGGAGGAGTAAATTAATTTTGCAGAAATCTAATCAACATTGAACAACAGTATCACCTTATTTGTTAGGTGGTACAACAGCTATCTCCGAAAACCAATGCGGTGCAGTGCTATTTCATAGTTAATCAAAGGGGTAATAGTACATATTGGAAGCTCATAGAAGTACTGGTTATTCTTACCAATGTTATATATATCATACCAAAATACTCAGTGAATATAAGGGCAAAGTGACACTTCCCTAAGAGTTGTTCAGTAAATTATTTTAGTGAATTTTTTTGCATATAAGCTCTAAGATTTTAAACTCATAAAATTATATTGTAAAATGAGATGCAATGTAGTTCAAAACCATCTCAATTAAGATACACAGATGCCAAGTTGTTATAAATTTGTAATTAGCTGAAAGAAAAATATTAAATTTATAGCCTGCTAAGTATATCTCTTTTTTTTTGGAAGAAGGGAAACACGGTAGTGCAACAGGAAATTGCATATGCTGGATCATCTAGTTTAACCCACACATGTTTAGTTTGCATGAACTAATTAATCAAATATAAAATTCAATTATGTCAATATGTGTTCCATACCAGTTCAAGAGTCTTCCAACTTGAGGATATGGTGGATTTATCAGTATAACTGAGTTGTACCTTGTCGACAATGATAATCCTATATGACATATTATGTTAGCAAAGAATTCACAACAGATCTCTTGCAGTACCCAAAAAAAAGTGTAATGTTTTCCATACCGCCATAGCTGGCTTGCGTAATTCGTTTTGCTACAATTATTGGGAATTCAGCAACTTGTGCAGCGAGGATGCTCCCATCAGTGTCGGCGAAGTCTTCCCACATTGTAAGGATAGTAGGTCTCACACTGCAGTAAAATGAATGGGCAATAAGTGACATTGCCTGATAAAAAAAATATAAGTCTAACAATGTCCGCAAGAGTAATAAAGAAAAGGATGTAAATATAAAAATAGCAAAGACAATTCGGTAAGACTGGAATTCAAACAATACTATAAGTAACATGTTCGCGCAGGAGAGTGAAGGTTGACAAAAAGGTCATTTAAATGATGCATATTGTGTGTTTAAGCATACAAATACAGCATGACCTATAAAGTTTTTTCCGGTTTGGAACTAATGACTTCTGGA